GCTCGTGAGGAGCCCTGCAGGTGCCTGTGTAAACCCGAACCTTCTAACTCTCATAAAACTCACTTGGATCACAAACCAGGCTTCGGCGTGAATTCTTTCTTGCGCGGAGCCAAGGGCGGAGGTATATCTCTCCTCTGAGAGATCTAACAGTTCCTATGCTTGGGTTCCTTGCTGCAGCCACTGGGTCACGCGGTCTCCTCGTTTCCGCTGCCCCTTGACTTTACCAAGCCTGATATCCTTCTCCAGGGACGGGTCCCTTCGGCCATGTCCAAAGTATATAAGACTTGTGCCCATGACACCCATCGTTCCCAGCAGAAGGCAGCCGTCTACCTGAGTCCCACTCCTTGCTGTTGCAGAACCAGAGAGCAGCCTTGAGTGGGTAGAAATAATCATGGGAAGCAGACATCCTGCTGGCGAGCAGTGCCCTCTCATTGATCGGATGCCAAGTCCGGCTCCTTTTAGATGCCCAGATTCCCAGCACGCTGAGCTGGTCGTCTTCCTCTCTCCCTTTTATCCGTTTTGAAAGCTGAGGCATAGGAGGTGGAGGAGCCTGCCCAGGGCCACACACCTGGTAAGGGGCAGAGCCAGCCTTAATGGCTGTAGCCTAACTCCCTCACCTCACCTGAGTAAGGGTTGATGAACCTGGCCCTGGCCTCTCCTGGCTCCCCAAGGCACAGCGCCCCCCAGCCCTGCACTCACTTTGGCCACTCCACCAACCACGGGTTGCTGCGGGCAGTCCTGCAGGACAGCGCAGATGGCGTTGACTGCCTGGTCAATCTGTGTCCTGCTGTCTTCAGGGAGCCGCAGGGAGCTCTGAATGAATGGCCCCAGGGCTTGGGCGGGTATAGAGTTCACTTTCGAGTGTGAGCACCAGCCCCACATAGCTTCCTGCTGCTGCAGCTGCTGCTGCTGCTGCGGCTGCCAGGGAACAGACAGACTGGCCGATAGGCAGAAGGGAGGGGCTCCTGTAGCCAGCCCAGTGGAGTCAGGAAACCGAAACTCAGCCACCAGGGTTTCCAGAGGCTCGGCCCCGCCCCTGGCCTGTGAGTCACAGCCTGCAACTCCTCGGACTTCAGCTCTCAACAGTGCCCCCCAACCCTGCCAATGCAGAGTGCCTAAGACAGGCTTGCCCTTGGGCGAGCCGCGTGCCCTCCTGGTGCCTTGATTTCTTTGCTGGTAAATGGGGATCCCAGTGGCATCTCTTGTTGGGCGACTGACTATGGGGATTCAAGAATACATGCAAACCCCCTGGGACCGTAGCGGGATACACACCATCGAAATAAGTGACGTGGTATGTAAGAAAGAGACGTTTCACAGGTGAGGAGCGAGCCTATAGGACAGGGTAGAATGGCCCCCGTGGGTTTCTGAGACTGTGACCAGAGTAAACAACCCCGCCTTTCTCTCCCAGAGAGGCCCGCGGTTCCTGACTGGCTGTTAGCAGGCCAGTGCATAACCGCTATGCCACCAGAGCTCCTAAGTAAGTGACATTTTACAGGCACCCCTTTCTCTCCTTCTGGTTCCCTGGGGAGTCTGACTCAAAGCAGAGAGGAGGGAGACCCGGAGAGAGGCCCAGAGGTGCTCAGGGATGCACAACCAGTAGGGGCCGGACCTGACTCGGGGCTCAGGCCAGCC